ATCTCTATAGGAGTTCATCACGGGTTTTTAACTTTTTATCCTCATTCATCATAGGCATATCTTTTAAGTTCTCTCTCCATTAGGATCATTGTAATTGCCTTATTGAACTTATTAACGCCATTTCCTTCTTTTCATATTTAACCATAAATTGTCTATGGTCTTTTTCTTGAAATTTTGATTATTTGTTCTGCATCTTTCTCCATGATATATATGTTGTGTTAGTTTAATTCCTTCTTTCATACTTATGAAATGTTTAATTGTATTTGATGGGTTCAGATGTACCAACGATGCGGATTTTTTCAATGGTGTGATGTACCTTCCTTGCCACAAAGCGGGTCTATGTTGAAGTTTCCAATTTGTGGTTGTAGAGCCGGAGAATGCAAGCTTTTTACTTCCAAAACTGATAAGAATCCCGGTCGCCAGTTCTTCGTTTGCCCCATCAAAAAGGTACAACAGTGGGTTTGGGCTGTTCTAATGTGATGGTTTCAGTTGCCTTACTTTAATGAAGTTGGTTACTAGCTTTTGTTATTGCAGAGCTCCATATATTGGCTGCTGCTTTGGTTTTTATAAAGGGAAAAATTTATACAGAACCGAGGCTCTAAACAATCAAATTAGAGCCTACCTCAAAATTTTCACTAGAGGAGATTGTTTTGATGCCCAAATATCCTCAAATTGATCATCTCCACATCAAGATACATGGACATAGTAAAATTTAGGATTTCAAGTTTTGAAAACAGTGTATTTTGTAATGTATTTTTGGAACGTCAATTTTCAAGATTTTCTAGTTTTCATAGATCGGTCGATCTGCACTATTTTTTAAGCTTTAAACTATATAAATAAAGATGAAAATATATTTTAAGGCTATCACAAAGATTTCCAATGTTTAGACCATGTCTCTTGACACTATTCGAAGGTAGGCTCTAATTTGATTGTTTAGAGCCTAGGCTCTATACAAACCACACCCTTTTATAAATTAAGCTATAAGCTTATAACTGTTGAAAATTTGAAACAAGTTTATGACTTTTTTGTCAAACAAGCTTATGACTTTATTTTCAAACAAGCTTATGACTTCTGAAATTTAAACTAAAAGTCGCTGTTTATGTAACTTTTAAATCGTTGAAAGAAGAGTGGTAAAATTCGTAATTAATCAAAACTTAAAGAAATCAGAATTGCCAGGTGATTGAAGAGAGTAAGAAGAAGATTTGGGTCTTAGCTTAAGAAATTGCATCCTTGGATTGTTGTTTTTTGCATAATTTGGAAGGAAAAGAAGCAAATGGCGAGGGTTTGAGCTCCTAATCTCTCGCAATCCATGTGAATATTACTTACATCTCTATCGTGAGGTGTATATGCAAAGGATTTCTTTTTTTACACTTTTTACCATTCGATCATGCTCATGAATCCCATGATATATACCCAAATATTCATATGGAACTTCAATAGGAACTTCTCTATTTATTGAGGCAATCATGCATTGATCCAGTTGCCACCGGATCCACAAAGGACTATATAAGTCAATTTGTTTTTGACGCTAGGCTCCAAGTTCATCGTAGAAACTACAAAAGTAAGGTTCTTTATCTTTTGCATGCTTATAGTTATTATTGGTAACTCTTCCGTTTTGCTAGTTTCTGTGGTTACGTGGATTATACCTATTTGTACAAATACCTCGATGATTCACGATCATTAGGAAATAGAGTCTAATAAGCATAACTTGAGTTGGTACAGAAATAGGATCTCCAATAGCTGGAGGCAAGAGATTCATATGAGAAAACATAAGTAAACGGGCTTTTGCTTGAGCTTCCAAAGACAAAGGTATATGAACAGCCATCTGGTCCCCATCGAAGTTTGTATTGAATCCCTTACGAACTAATGGATGTAAACAATTAGCACGTCCCTCAACTAGCACAGGATGGAACGCCTCGCTGTATATCTGAGGATAATCCTTTGTTCGATAGCTGTGGGGCTGTTTACAACTAGCCAATTCCTAATTATCAGGTGATGTACTAGCAGTGCATCAAAGATGCAGTCATGAATTCTCTCAAGAGGCCACAATTACCGCGAGCAAGCATCTTAATGATGACGAAAACATTGCTAATACTTGCTCCGCTATTCTGCCCAAGCTTGGCTGAGGAAGAGTTATGGGGAGTAGAACACAAATATGTCGATTCGGTCCAGGAATACTATATGCAATGATTAATGATGAAATCAGAAAGTTAAATTCCTAATTTCTAAAAATTAGAAATATAAAACAAAAGACTCAGACCAAGTTCCGTCGCTTTGCATCCGCTCTGCTGATGATTACTTTATTTTTCTACCCTAGAGGTAAAGGAAGGGACCTTCCTTTTTGAGGTGGGTGAGGAGGGATTTGAACCCCCCGACACCATGGTTCGTAGCCACATGCTCTAATCCTCTAAGCTACAGTCCCCAACCCTTCTCCGCTGGCCATGTTCCCAGGAGTACCCTCAAAAAAGGAACCTTTCCTCTCATCCATTTCAGATTAAGAAAATGGAACTTCCAATTATCTTGGCAGAAATGTGATATCCTTCTTTCCATCTTAGCAAATGTTTTTGTTTACCCATAAGGGATTGTGATGTGTTTTTATGGTATCACAGGTCTGTTATTAGCTCTTATTTGTGGTGCACAATTATGTGGAATGTAGGTAGTGGTTATGATAGCTTTGATAGAAACGAAGAAATATTGTGTAGTTTTTGTCGGGGATTTCTTGGAAGAAATTGTGTATCTTCTTTCGATTCCTTCTGAGAGATATTTGATAATGGAAGTTAAAGATGGTATTTATCCTCGTCATGTCCTTTCTCTTGAAATCAGAAATCAGGGATCCATTCCCTTGACGCTAACTGATGAAAATTTTATTTCACAAGAAATTGAGCAAAGTGTTACTGAATTTTCCTATTTCTTGCGTGTACCAATTGAAGCATTTCCGACCAAGGAATGAATACTTCGTCAGCATGAGGCACAAAACCCAAGTACCATTTTTAATACAATTTATCTTTCTTCAGAACAACTGCCCATTCGATCTCACTATTAAGTGCAATTGGCTACTAGTGGACCTTGGGAATTAGTTAGTCTCATAACCGCAACATCATGCATTGATTCCATTAGGATTGTCATTTGTTAGACTTGGAGGATTCCATGCTCCAACTCACCTGACTAGTTGAAATGCACGAAAAAAAGAACAAGAAAAAAAACGCGTAAAAGCATTCTCTTTCATTTTGACACAAAGTGCCATTGCGCCCACTGTGAAAAGTCTAAAGTGAGCAACTTGTGTTGCAATCCATTGGTTTTCAGCATGGTGAATTCTTCTTTCAGTTGGGTGCTTTAGAAGTCTCCCTATTGACATAGTAGAAGAGAGTTTTATAGTATTTGGTTTGGGTTTGTTGGATATTTACATGTTCAGTTAGGTATCTAAGTCTCGCTTATTGATATTTTTGTTTTATTTGGTGCAATTTGGACAAGTTGGTGCCAGAATTGGGAATATAAAATACTATATTTTGAAGTTCTCCTTATTTATAATTGGTGTCTTGGAGTTTTTAAAACGATGTTTTGCAAAGTCTTGCTCATTAATATTTTTGTTTTATTTGGTGCAATTTGGACAAGTTGGTGCCAGAATTGGGATATTGAGATGAGAATATAAAATACTATATTTTGAAGTTCTTCTTATTTATAATTGGTGTCTTGGAGTTTTAAAAAAGATGTTTTCCACTTTAAGTTCAAGTACTTTTCCAAATTTCCACATCTGGCAATTGCTCCTTTTATATTGGAAAAAGCTAACAATAGGTGGCCAGCTATAATGAATAGTATAATAGGTTTAATGGGAGCAGTCAGATCTTCACATTGTAGTTCAGAATGCATGTCACTATTTGAATTTTAATATTTTTTCTAGAAATTGGATCATAAATTTAGACGTGTGTACTAAAAAATAGGGCGCACAATTAAAAAATATATAAAAAATGTTTTCCAAAATATAAAATGACCGAAATACCCTTGAAAAATGACGGGGGTAATTTGGTCATTTTAAATTATTGAAAATATTTTTTTTTATTTTTCTATGGTGTGCAATAGTGTTAGGTATATACATTCAAAATTTCATCTTAATCAGATTTATAGAAAAAAAAATTAAAATTCATATGGTGATATGCATTCTGAACCACATGATAAAGATTTGATGGCTGAGATTTTACCTATATTACTATTCATTATAGCTGCCCAGCTATTGTAAGGTTTACTCTTTTATATTTCTTGAGTATTTTAGATGTTTTCATACATCTCACTGCGTGTTGCATGAGTGTGTTCTATGCTTTACAAGGAATCTGGCTTTTCTAATCTAGAGCGTGGTCACAGAGAACAGTGTTTGACTGCACCCTCTATATGAGGTCCACTATTTTCTTGTATTCTTACAACATCAATAGAGGCTTTCTCTAAAACATTTCAGTTGGTGGAAAAGTTTACAACCCAATTTAAGATGTGGTTCAATTATCTTTGGTATTTAGAAATGGGTATCAGTTGTTGTGGCACCTCTTTCCATTTTAGTTGGGCATTTAAAATTTGACCATTTCTTGATTTGTGCATTTCATCCTTGCACATAGGCCATGTTAATCTTTTCTATTGTTCCAATTTTATTAGATGTCTCCCAAGGCATTTCAAAAAGGCTGTTGACTTTTATATCTTCTGAAATCTTTAGTTATGTTTAGCTCTACCAAAATCTTTAGTTCTTTCCCTATTAAATTCCTTTTGAGAATTGAGAGTCAAAGTTTCTTTTTTGGGGTAAATGTAACTCTGGATGAAGTTACACACCTGCTCCCTATTATGATGCGTTTAAAACCCACACATGTGAGTAGTGGGTGATTACTTACCACAACAAGTTACACAAAATGGCTAAGGCATGGTGGAGTTATATTTCACGAAGTTCACTTAGTCTATTGGCTGATTTTATTTCTGTTATGAAGTTTGATATCTATTTCGAACAGCATGATGCATGTTGTAATTTGTAAATGTTTTAATGAAATTGCTAATGTAGATTTTATGGAATTATGATTTGGCATCTGTGTTTATCATATTATTTTCAAAATTGAGTTGTGTAAAGTTCCAATGCTTAATTGTAGAAATGGAAGGTAATAATTACACAGGAATCATGTCTCTACTTGAAACCTTGGTACTGTATAAGTTACCAACTGCACAGAAATTTAATGGTTCACAAGTGCAGGTTTTAGTTCAAAGAGCACTAGTTCTCTGTCTATGAAATGAGAGAAGGATTTTTATCGTTTGCCTGCCTGCAAGATATGAGAGATGCTCAAATCGATAGCTGAGACAGATAAGGCTTGAACTTGCCACAAAACTTGGCAAGAACCATATAGAAGCAAAAACAACAAAATCACATTATTATTTATGATGCTTTTGCCCCTGATGTATAGAGCCAATTCATGTTTGTCAAGCACATGCATGTTGACTTTTGCTCATGCCAATTCTTCCCATCATGCTAGAATTGTCTCAAAAGTTTTTTAAGACTACCAACCTTGGTGACATAGATCAATTTTATAGTTCCATTTAGTTTTCATGCTTTACGCAATTTTAGCGTAGCTTGCATATCGTATGCTTATATATCAACTATCAAGACCTAGTCTTGTAATATAGACCTGTGTCCCCATTGTTTTTGGCATGTGTTGACAGACCAAGGATAGGAAACAAATGTCAGGCACTTACGAAAGTTAGACATTTCTAAATGATATATGAACTTATTGTGCTCATAGGCTAATTTTGCGATTGGCATTTTTTACCCTCATATCGGTTTTAGATGTTGATGGAGTGTCTCTGTCTTTATAAGTTCAGCCACCTAGCAAGGAAATTCTGCATTGACCTCTCATTGCTTAACTGATTTTTCACTATAATTTTTATTTCATTTTAGTAATAGAATAAATACCATCTTCTATGCAACTTATTCAATATTTTCATGTTCTATGGTTCCATGAAGGGTCAAGGAGCCTGCAACTTTTTCCTTTGGCTCGAGGACTACGAAAAAGGGCTTCCAGGAAGCAATATGAGTCCAAACAAGCGACCCAGAGATGCCATTTCTGATGCTCATTGCAATGCAACATCAAGCCCAATATTCGAACATAGTCCTTCTCAAATATCGACAAATACCAGCAATGCTTTTTCTTGTGATTCGGGCAAGTACCAGTCACTGTGTCCTATGGGTGCTCAGCTTTCCAGTGAGATTCTGTACCCACCAATTGAGAATCTTAGCATACAAGAGACAACCTACCCACTGGACTGCGAAAAAGGGCTCCCACGAAGCAAGATGAGTCCTAACAAACGACCTAGAGATGCCATTTCAGTCCCTTATAGCGATGAAGAAACTGGAACAACACCAAGCCCTCTATCCAACCAAATTCCTTACCACATATCAATGGATACAAACAATGTTTTCCCCCCCAATTTCGACAAGAACCTGTCACCGGGTTCTATGGGCACTCAGTTTTTTGGCGAGATTAGCTATCCACTTAGAGAGATTAGCTACACACTGATCGAGGATCTTGGAAGTAGTGAGATCAGGTACCCACCAATAGAGAGGCTCAGCATAAGAGAAGAGCCAGTTATGGCTGGGAAATGCGATGATTGTGAGGGTGATGGGCACTGGGATATGGGCAGTGTAAGGGAGCCTTCTTTTCGTTACTTAAAGTGTAGGAAAGGTTGGGATTGGGTTTGCCCTCTGGTATGATACTGTATTTAAGTCTTAGGGTGTGTTTGATAACAAGAAGTTAGGGGGAGGAAGAAGAAACTTCCTCATCAATGTATATTCCCGGCAAAGAAGAACTTCTAATTTTTAGGGGACATTTACCTTCCAGTTATCAAAGGGGCCCTTAATGTAAAACTAAGTTGTGAAGATAAGCTTTTGTTTTGGAAAATTGTATCATGCATGTGGTGGGGACTGCATTTCTACATTTGTGGTCCTTAAGGTATAAAGCATCCAACTTAAAGATGATGTAAATAGGTGGTCCATCAAAAACTAATTAAAACCAACTGTTCAAATAATTTTTAATAGAATTATTATTTTTAATTTCCAAAATTTATTTATTTTTTCATATTCATGATCTCCATATTAGAGATTACATGTCCTTGAAAATTAGGTCAAAAAATCCATCTCAAAAATAGATTTTTAATACGTGATTCATTTCTATATGGACTCCTAAAAGTAGTGTTTTTTTGTTTTTCTTGTTTTTGTTATGGAAAAATATACAAAGAGACCATTTACTTTCAGTACAATGAAGTCACAACAATTCTTGGCCATCAAATTTCAAATCACATGGTTTCAAGTGTACTTGTGATTAAACTTATAGCCCAACAAAAAATTTCTTAAACTTTAATACATATCCCAAGCTATTCGAACTGGACATCTAATGACTAAGATTAATTGTAAGCTCTTTGTATTAAATATAAAGGTTTTATAGTATACAATCCATTCTGTTATTGATATTGTCGATGTTTAAAAAATAGTACTGTTGGGTTGAACTGGTTGTCGCTGGTTCTAAGCTGGCTCACCCGTTCTCAAGGGCGTTTTCTATTGATAATAACCAGCCTCGAACATTTTTTGGAGCACTGGTTTTGTGGTGGTTGTTTTTCTTGTGTGGGGCAACATGGTGCAGATACAAAGTTGAGAAAATTGGTTGTTGCCTTGGAGCTTGGTAACTAATACGAATTGAAATGGGGCTCCGGACCAACAAGAATTGAAGATCATGAGCTCCATACTGTTTTTGGAAGGTTTTTTTTCTTCAAAGATCACAAATTCTACATTATTTTTTAAAGCTCCCAATATCAAAGGCATAGAATCAATTGAAAATGTGTTTTTCCATCTTAGAACCCTCGATTGTCATGAGGACGAGTTGAGAGAGTGAACTTTTCGGGCACCAAGTTGAGGCCTGCTCATGGGCAATAAGCAAGAAAAATAAAACAAAAAGGAAATAAAGTAAAATTAATTTTAAGATTTTACTTGGTTTGTCCTAGATGTAATAGAGAAGTCAGTTGGTTTTTTACCAAACAAAAAACACACAAGATGACTCTTAATTGAGATAACAAGAGCAGCAAACTCAATCTCTGACAAAGCCTCTCTCAACACACTCAAGGTTTCCTCTCTTGTTTCTATATATATTTATCTCTCTACAATACAACTTAATATAGGGAAAGGCGACAACCCAAAGGCCCTTGCATGAGTCTCCCAATTCCTTAACTTTTAGGATTCTTATCTCTTATCTTTTTTTATGAAGACTCACATCCCATCCTAAATTGTGTACTATGGCAGTTTGATGTTTCTTGTTAGAAAAATGAATTTTCCTAACTAATTTTCCATGTTGCAGTTGTCAAGATTGATATGTTGGGGTTTCATGATCAGGCAGCACCGCGAATACTTCATTGAGAGGTTGCGATGTGTTTTATTTTTTATTTATTCCAAAAGAGGTGACTATGCTTTTATTTATTCCAAAACAGGTGACTATGCTTTTTTGTTGAAGATAATTCTTTGGAACTGTACATTCACACACTCATAGAGTATGATGCACATAAAATCAGAGTGGCACAAGAGAAGAGGATTGATATCAGCTTCATCTTAATCCACTTCAAAACTCGAGTACAGGTGTTCTCCAAGAAGAAGAGCATGATACAGGAGCAAGTAGAATGGCCCCTTGAAGAAGAGATGAAGCAAGTTTGGAAAGGCCTCACAATAAACTCGAAGGCGAGTTCATTTCGAGAATAGGTGAATGACACGATGTCGAGTCAGGGCATGGTCCTATTCGACGTTCTTACTTAGCACCAAGGTGTATGATCAGTTAGTGCAAGCGCAAGTGTATTGGAAAAAGGACCTGGTTTATGCGGCCAAGCCCGCATATGTAGAAATGCGGGCCTCTTAATAAATTTATTTTTGAGATAAATTTTAAGACTTAATTTTTAAGGACATATAATCTCTAACATAGAGATCATGAATATGAATAAATAAATAAATTTTAAAAACAAGAAATAATAATTCTAGTACGAAAACATTTGGACCATTAGTTTTCATTGTTTTTAGATGGAGCATCTAGTTGCATCCATTTTTAGGATGGATACCTTACACTTTTTGGATCGCATTTGTAAAAATACGGTCCAGCCCACATGAAACAATTTTCTTTGAAAAAATAGTTAAATGTAAATGAAATTTATTGTTTTTTTCTTCTTTGGGAATGTTTGCATAGGAAATAGGTTGCATGTATGAACATTAATGTATTTTTCTTTCGAAAAACTCAAAGAGGAACTTCAGTTGCATGTGTACGTAGTTTCCATGGGAACTAGGATTGCAGTAGAACACTTTTTACATGGGTTATAGGTTAGTTTTGCATATAGTTATTATTTTAAGAGTTCCAAATGCGGGTTTTGGTCTTCCAATGGTTTTGACCAGCGTTTTAAAAAACGCCGAGTCGAACCAGACTCGCCCGGTTCGACTCGGAAATCGTGAAAAGGGACCGGATCAGTTAAAAAATCGGAAATCGTCCAGTTCTAGAGAGAACCGGACGATTCCGCACAGTGACTCGCCGATTCACTGTGCGGAATCGGCGAGTCCGTGAAGAACACGGGTTGCACAGTGTTCTTCACGGGATTCTTTGAAATTTGTCATTTTTTGATCATTTTTCTTGTCTTTTTTGGCATGTGATCTGATTTGCAGGCTGTAAACAGCTTTATTCAGCTTTTTCAAGGATTAAATGGTGGAAAAATTTGTTGTTTTTGGATCACGAAAAATTCGGTGTTTAGGGTTTCCGCCTTTTCTGAAATTTCATGCCAAATAGGGCATGAATCTTTCAAAATTTGTAGGCATTTTGATCTTAAAGCTGTGAATCAAAACCTTTTGTTACTAATTTGTGATAATCGTTGAGCAAAACAGAGTTTTTTGGAGATTGAAGGCTTCGGTTCACAAAATCAGGTAAGAACTTTGGGTTTTTTTTTTTTCCGCCATTTGATTTATTTCACGGCATATTTTGAACATAATGAGTTCAATAATTAGGGTTTTTAATATTTATTGTGTCTAGTATGATTTAAAATTTTCAATTTTACGTAATCTGGTCAATTACAGCAAGAAATTTGATATGAACACTGAGATGTCTGCGGAACCAAATTCCGTTGTTTTTTTTTTTTTTCCGCCTTTTGATTTTGTTTTCATGATATATTAGAAATAATGTGTTAAAAATTTAGGGTTTTGATTCCTTATATTGTTGTTTATCAGAAAATATACTCAATTGGATGTAATTTATTCACTTAGAGGTGAATTTTTTAGTTAAAATCGCTTATGTAAAACGCCTCTGTGAAGTAACTTTTAATTTTTTTTTTTTTTTTTTTTATTTTTTTTGAGCCCATGATTAGAATTTTTTGAATCCATGATTCGAATTTTTTGTAATCCATGATCGAAATTGTTTGTTTTTTTTCTTGTAATCCATGATCGTAA